AAATATGCCGTCGGCTCAGGTTATGATTATCAAACCTCAAATACACTAAACATTTAAAAAAATGTAACCTTCAGAGAACTTTCAGAAATAATAATGTTTTCATAATTTAGAGCATATTTCTGTGAGCTTAACTTCGGCTTATAGAACTGTTAAGAAATGTTCGGGGTTAGACAACAACAAATACATTAAATACATAAACACAAATACATTTCATCAAGGATGCATTAAACTGATCAAAAGTGACAGTAAAGACATTTATAATGTTACAAAAGATGTCAAATAAATGCTGCTCTTTTGAACTTTCTGTTCATCAAAGAATCCTGAAAATTAAAATGTATCACAGTTTCCACAGAAATCTGAACTGTTTTCAACTCTGATAATAATCATAACTGTTTCTTGAGCATCAGATCCTCATATTAGAGTGATTTCTGAAGGATCATGTGACACTGAAGACTGGAGTAATGATGCTGGAAATCACAGGAATAAATTACACTTTACTGTATATTCACATAGAGAACAGCTGATTTACACTGGAGTAATATTACACTGTTTTACTGTATTTGTGATCATATAAACACAGCTGGTGAGCAGAAGTCTCTCAGAAACATGAGTGATGTGATCTGCACATCATTCCTCTCTTCACTTCATTCCTCTAACCGTCATTCATAACCACTGATGCCATTCCGGGAGCACTTTACAATAAGGTTCATTAGTTAACATTAGTTAACTACCTTAGTTAACATGAACTAAGATTGAACAATACTACTTCAGCATTTATTAATCTTAGTTAATATGTATTTCAACATTTACCAATACATTATTAAAATCAAAGGTTGTGTTAGTTAACATTACACTGTGAACTAACATGAACCAACAATGAACAGCTGGATATTTATTAGCTAACATTAACAAAGATTAACAAATACAGTAACAAATGTATTGTATCTAATTATGCATAATTACATGCAACTAACTCTCAACCAGACCCTAATCCTACCCTAACCCTATAGTAATACATGTTGTTGCTTAATAATACACAGTACTTAAATATTCACACTGTAACAATGACACCTTAAAATAAAGTGTAACCGATCATTGTTAGTTCATGTTAGTTAATACATGAATTGCTGTTAACTAATGTAAAGTGTTACCATAATTTGCTTTCTTCTCACAGTCACTTTAATGTGATGAGATTGAGTTTTGGGGCCAAACATGATGAAATATCCCAGACAGCAACATAGTGTCGGCCCAGATCCGGCACACATGGATTCAACTCAGTACATTCTGGACTTTGATCGCTTCATTTAATTCTGTTTCTGTGTTTCTTATTCTAAGTCTCGCACTGAATGATGGGTAATATGAGTGCTTGATACACTCTAAAAAAAGAGGGTAATTTTGTCTACCCAAATCCTGGGTTGGGCCTTTTGGGTCATTTATTTTGGTTCTTTTTTCAGTATTTGGATAGTTTTTGTGTAACCCAGCTCCTGGGTCAGACGTAACAACCCAATGTTTGGGTACTTTTTGTGTAACCCAGATCCTGGGTCAGACGTAACAACCCAATGTTTGGGTACTTTTTGTGTAACCCAGATCCTGGGTCAGACGTAACAACCCAATGTTTGGGTACTTTTTGTGTAACCCAGATCCTGGGTCAGACGTAACAACCCAGTGTTTAGGTAGTTTTTGTGTAACCCAGATCCTGGGTCAGACATAACAACCCAATGTTTGGGTAGTTTTTGTGTAACCCAGATCCTGGGTCAGACGTAACAACCCAGTGTTTAGGTAGTTTTTGTGTAACCCAGATCCTGGGTCAGACATAACAACCCAATGTTTGGGTAGTTTTTGTGTAACCCAGATCCTGGGTCAGACGTAACAACCCACTGTTTGGGTAGTTTTTGTGTAACCCAGATCCTGGGTCAGACGTAACAACCCACTGTTTGGGTAGTTTTTGTGTAACCCAGATCCTGGGTCAGACGTAACAACCCACTGTTTGGGTAGTTTTTGTGTAACCCAGATCCTGGGTCAGACGTAACAACCCACTGTTTGGGTAGTTTTTGTGTAACCCAGATCCTGGGTCAGACGTAACAACCCAATGTTTGGGTAGTTTTTGTGTAACCCAGATCCTGGGTCAGACGTAACAACCCACTGTTTGGGTAGTTTTTGAGTAACCCAGATCCTGGGTCAGACGTAACAACCCACTGTTTGGGTAGTTTTTGTGTTAACCAGATCCTGGGTCAGACGTTACCCAGGGATTGAGTTATTTATGTATGTCTTTTAATGTTATGCAAAGCAAGATACAGGGGCGCGATGTCACTCACCTAAACGAGTGTCGCGTCGATCTTTTCGCGTGATGAAAACGTCTGATGCCTTGCATACATTTATTTTATTTTATTAAAAAAAGATACAGAATATAAATACTTATAATGTTAAATATGTTCTCATAACTGTACACTGATAGGTTATGGACAGTTTATTAAAATGATATAAAATATACTATATTGTAAAATATGATTAAAAATAAAGGAATTATCATGCAAGCGACTGGTTGTATCGAGTTTTAAAAAAAAATTTAGTTAATCAGTAAACATTCATTCATGTATGAAGTAAAAGAAAGATAGAAGAAGCTAGTATTATAGTAAAAATGAATCAACTATGCTGGGTTAAATAAACAACCCAATTTGCTGGGTAAAGTTAACCCAACATGTGTTCTGTCCTATATTGGGTTGTTTTTAACCCAGTGTACTCACAGGATCAGATAGAAGAGCAGGAGCTTGTTGAGTCGGAGCGTGTCATTGGACGATCGGACCTTCTCTGTTACCATGGAAACCCAGGAGAGCGCTGGTTAGAGAACACATGATCACTGGCAGCAAACAGGCATGATTGACAGGTGTGTGTGTGTGTGTGTGAAGGTTCACCTGTGGTGTGTTGCTCTGGTGTGTTTCGGCTTGAGTCAGGTGTCGTCGAGCTGCTTCGGACTGATGCTGTGAACACAAGAATCATTCTTCATAGAACAATCAACTGATTAACTTAGAGTTCTTCTATACAGTGTGTTTATATAACAGTAGAGCAGTTCAGCTGTGATGTATGAACACGTGCCGCTCGTGTGCACACGCGCCACAGAAACACACACACTTCAGGCAGACTCACTTTGAGAGTCGGTGAGAGTCTGTTCGTTCAGAGGAATCGTTTGATTCTCAGGATTCTCCTCTAGACTCGAATAGCTGGAGATCTATCAGAGGATACGACAGATAACTACATGAAACAAAAGATTTCACTGTAAAAATTATCGGGATTTTAACGGTAAAAGAAGACAGAAAAACTGGTTAACAGAAAGTTTCCGTACTGTATACGGTGAATAACTGTGGCAGATCTAACCGTACATTTGATGTCATTTTACAGTAAAATTACAGTTTTTGGAAGTGAAAAAGAACAAGTCACTTTATAATCTATTTATTAGTTTTGTTGAAATATGTTTGGTAACACTTTACTTGAAGGGGTGTGCATAAGACTGACATGACACCTTCATAATCATGACATGACACATGTTATGAATAAGAAGGAAGTTTTATGCATGTTTATGACAACTGTCATTAAGTGTCATTCGCTCAATTATGACATTTTTAATGCAAATATGACATTGTTTGAGATGTCTTTGTTATGACACCTTGACACAAACCAATACATCATAACCTGTCAGTGTCTTTGTCATGACAACTTGACATTACTAAGACAACACAACCTGTCATAAACATGACATAGCAGATTAATTATCAAACTTAAGAAACCACGCTTTATTGGTTAACATTACATTAAACTGTCATGAGGCTGGTTTTGACATTGGCTGTCATGAAGCCATTATAACTGTTTAATGACAAATTCAATGTGTACCACTGTAGTTGAGGTCACGAAAAATATTCATAACACAGTTATAATGGCCTTATGACAGCCAATGTCAAAACCAACCACATGACAGTTTAACTTAATTTAATGTCAAGTTGTCATGACAAAGACACTGACATGTTATGATGTAGTGGTTTATGTCAAGGTGTCATAACAAAGACATCTCAAACAATGTCATATTTGCATTCAAAATGTCATTATTGAGCGAAATACACTTAATGACAGTTGTCATAAACATGTATAAACCCTACTTCATATTCATGACATATGTCATGTCATGGCTATGAAGGTGTCATGTCAGTCTTATGTACACCCCTTCAAGTAAAGTGTTACCATATGGGTATCTTCATAGTTTTTCTTAGTTTTTTCTAATCAGTTATGTACATTAGAGTTTTATGTTACATTTAATGTTATTAAATTAATATTTATTGCATTTTTAAATGTCATGTGTGTTATCCTGATGGTGTTTAGTGTGTGTGTGTGTGTGTGTGAATGACACTGTGCAGCTTCTCTATATTAATATTAACTTTCTTGTGGAAAAACTTTCTTGCGATGATGAGCTGTGATTGATCATGTGACTCTCATCTCCACTGTGATTGGTAGTTGCCAGTGTGTTACAATGGTACAAAACAGATATTAGTACTTCAAATTAACATTATATCAGATAATGAAATAATTTTACTGTAAATTTAAGTTAAGTGTGTAAAACCTAAAATATTGCTACCGTATTTCTTACAGTGAATTTCTGGCAACCACAGCTGCCGGTTTTTTTTACCGTAAATTTAACGGAATCTTTTTTCCAGTGTTATTAAAGTGTAAACAGGGTTACAAGACACGTAAACACAGGAGCAGAAAGGAGTCGTTCAGGTGATTGATTCTAAAGCATCGGTTCACTCTTACTCTGTCGCAGTCCATCTCAGGAGTGTGTTCAGCGGAGGACTTTCTGCTGAGGATCTCCGTCTAAGAGCGAACACAGTTTCACTTTAGACTCAACACACGACCTGAACAACCATGAGGAGCAGCAGAAGAGCTCAAACCTGCGGGCAGAGCGACTGCAGCAGCCGGAAACACGACTCTCGGTTCCTCAGCGAGCCGAACACGTACTGAAACACACACATCAGAGGCAGAGGTGTTCATACCCGAGTGTGTGAGCGACATCAGTGTGTGATTCTCGAGTGTGTGAGCGACATCAGTGTGTGATTCTCGAGTGTGTGAGCGACATCAGTGTGTGATTCTCGAGTGTGTGAGCGACATCAGTGTGTGATTCTCGAGTGTGTGAGCGACATCAGTGTGTGATTCTCGAGTGTGTGAGCGACATCAGTGTGTGATTCTCGAGTGTGTGAGCGACATCAGTGTGTGATTCTCGAGTGTGCGAGCGACATCAGTGTGTGATACTCGAGTGTGTGTGTGAGCTCGATCAGTGTGTGATTCTCGAGTGTGTGAGCTCGATCAGTGTGTGAGCTTGAGTGTGTGAGCGACATCAGTGTGTGATTCTCGAGTGTGCGAGCGACATCAGTGTGTGATACTCGAGTGTGTGTGTGAGCTCGATCAGTGTGTGATTCTCGAGTGTGTGTGTGAGCTCGATCAGTGTGTGATTCTCGAGTGTGTGTGTGAGCTCCATCAGTGTGTGAGCTCGAGTGTGTGTGTGAGCTCGATCAGTGTGTGATACTCGAGTGTGTGAGCTCGATCAGTGTGTGAGCTTGAGTGTGTGAGCGACATCAGTGTGTGATACTCGAGTGTGTGTGTGAGCTCCATCAGTGTGTGAGCTCGAGTGTGTGTGTGAGCTCGATCAGTGTGTGATACTCGAGTGTGTGTGTGAGCTCGATCAGTGTGTGAGCTTGAGTGTGTGAGCGACATCAGTGTGTGATTCTCGAGTGTGCGAGCGACATCAGTGTGTGATACTCGAGTGTGTGTGTGAGCTCGATCAGTGTGTGATTCTCGAGTGTGTGTGTGAGCTCCATCAGTGTGTGAGCTCGAGTGTGTGTGTGAGCTCGATCAGTGTGTGATACCCGAGTGTGTGAGCGACATCAGTGTGTGATTCTCGAGTGTGTGAGCGACATCAGTGTGTGATTCTCGAGTGTGCGAGCGACATCAGTGTGTGATACTCGAGTGTGTGTGTGAGCTCGATCAGTGTGTGATTCTCGAGTGTGTGTGTGAGCTCCATCAGTGTGTGAGCTCGAGTGTGTGTGTGAGCTCGATCAGTGTGTGATACTCGAGTGTGTGAGCTCGATCAGTGTGTGAGCTTGAGTGTGTGAGCTCGATCAGTGTGTGATACTCGAGTGTGTGTGTGAGCTCGATCAGTGTGTGAGCTTGAGTGTGTGAGTTCGATCAGTGTGTGATACTCGAGTGTGTGTGTGAGCTCGATCAGTGTGTGAGCTCGAGTGTGTGTGTGAGCTCGATCAGTGTGTGAGCTTGAGTGTGTGAGCTCGATCAGTGTGTGATACTCGAGTGTGTGTGTGAGCTCGATCAGTGTGTGAGCTCGAGTGTGTGAGCTCGATCAGTGTGTGATACTCGAGTGTGTGTGTGAGCTCGATCAGTGTGTGAGCTCGAGTGTGTGAGCTCGATCAGTGTGTGATACTCGAGTGTGTGTGTGAGCTCGATCAGTGTGTGATACTTGAGTGTGTGTGTGAGCTCGATCAGTGTGTGATACTCGAGTGTGTGTGTGAGCTCGATCAGTGTGTGATACTCGAGTGTGTGTGTGAGCTCGATCAGTGTGTGAGCTTGAGTGTGTGAGCTCGATCAGTGTGTGATACTCGAGTGTGTGTGTGAGCTCGATCAGTGTGTGAGCTCGAGTGTGTGAGCTCGATCAGTGTGTGATACTCGAGTGTGTGTGTGAGCTCGATCAGTGTGTGATACTTGAGTGTGTGTGTGAGCTCGATCAGTGTGTGATACTCGAGTGTGTGTGTGAGCTCGATCAGTGTGTGATACTCGAGTGTGTGTGTGAGCTCGATCAGTGTGTGAGCTCGAGTGTGTGTGTGAGCTCGATCAGTGTGTGAGCTCGAGTGCAGGGTTCTCAAGTTTTATCAAAAGCTTGGAGTGAGATCACATGCGGTTAGGGGAGGAGCCTAAATGGAGCCCCGCCCCCGCCTAGCCCCACCCCCAATTTTACCCATTGTTCATAATTAACCAGTAAAAATTGAAATTTAACAATTGGTAAATCTGATAAATGACAGAGCAATTCATGACATCAAATATAGGCCTACTCTTTAATGTTATATTTCAAAATTAGGCTACAAATATATAACAAATTGCTCCAAAGTGTTTGGAAAAACAAATATTTTTGCATTTTTCCCTGACATCTTTAAAAATTACAAATGCAATGATTAGGCTAATGTATGTTTTGACAGGATATACAATATTACCAAGAGCACTCTGCTTTAGCCTTAATGTAGCCTAACTAGAAATACTATTAATACAGTATAATATAGAATTTAAAATAAACTGAAGAAATACATCTTCATTCCTTCCCATACCCAATAACATTTCCTTAGCCAAACTGAGCCAAAGCTTCTGGCCTGGTTGCAAAGCAGTTGTAGAGTTTTTGACTGCATCAATAATGTATACGATGGGCTATATATTAAATGTTCAAGAACTTCTAGTCTAAAAATGTTAGGCGAGCTTTCTTCCAACTGACTTTCTCCATCACGACGTGTGATCGCACGATATCGCGGTGGCCGAACTTCCGTGTGTGTTCGCGGACTTGGCGCGTCTATAAGTTGCCTAGTAACGAACGCAATCTGGCCGAGATGTGGACGCGCTGGCGGCAGGAAACTTTACTTTGTGTGCATGCGCCTCGTATACAACGTTATATATAAAGCTTGCAGGACAACTTGGTTGGCATTGCCTTTTCAGCGTGAGATATACACGGTGTGGCGTGTGAGCGTGTGAACTGGTTGAATTGCGTGTGTCTCACGGCCAATGCGTGAGACTTGAGAACCCTGCGAGTGTGTGAGCTCGATCAGTGTGTGATACTCGAGTGTGTGTGTGAGCTCGATCAGTGTGTGATACTCGAGTGTGTGTGTGAGCTCGATCAGTGTGTGAGCTCGAGTGTGTGAGCTCGATCAGTGTGTGATACTCGAGTGTGTGTGTGAGCGACATCAGTGTGTGTGCTCGAGTGTGTGAGCTCGATCAGTGTGTGATACTCGAGTGTGTGTGTGAGCTCGATCAGTGTGTGATACTTGAGTGTGTGTGAGCTCGATCAGTGTGTGATACTCGAGTGTGTGTGTGAGCGACATCAGTGTGTGTGCTCGAGTGTGTGAGCTCGATCAGTGTGTGATACTCGAGTGTGTGTGTGAGCTCGATCAGTGTGTGATACTTGAGTGTGTGTGTGAGCTCGATCAGTGTGTGAGCTCGAGTGTGTGAGCTCGATCAGTGTGTGATACTCGAGTGTGTGTGTGAGCGACATCAGTGTGTGAGCTCGAGTGTGTGAGCTCGATCAGTGTGTGATACTCGAGTGTGTGTGTGAGCTCGATCAGTGTGTGATACTCGAGTGTGTGAGCTCGATCAGTGTGTGATACTCGAGTGTGTGTGTGAGCTCCATCAGTGTGTGATACTCGAGTGTGTGAGCTCGATCAGTGTGTGATACTTGAGTGTGTGTGTGAGCTCGATCAGTGTGTGATACTCGAGTGTGTGTGTGAGCTCGATCAGTGTGTGATACTCGAGTGTGTGTGTGAGCGACATCAGTGTGTGAGCTCGAGTGTGTGAGCTCGATCAGTGTGTGATACTCGAGTGTGTGTGTGAGCTCGATCAGTGTGTGAGCTCGAGTGTGTGAGCTCGATCAGTGTGTGATACTCGAGTGTGTGTGTGAGCGACATCAGTGTGTGAGCTCGAGTGTGTGAGCTCGATCAGTGTGTGATACTCGAGTGTGTGTGTGAGCTCGATCAGTGTGTGATACTCGAGTGTGTGTGTGAGCTCGATCAGTGTGTGATACTCGAGTGTGTGTGTGAGCTCCATCAGTGTGTGATACTCGAGTGTGTGTGTGAGCTCGATCAGTGTGTGATACTCGAGTGTGTGAGCTCGATCAGTGTGTGATACTCGAGTGTGTGAGCTCGATCAGTGTGTGATACTCGAGTGTGTGAGCTCGATCAGTGTGTGATACTCGAGTGTGTGAGCTCCATCAGTGTGTGATACTCGAGTGTGTGAGCTCCATCAGTGTGTGATACTCGAGTGTGTGTGTGAGCTCGATCCAGGGACGGACTGGGACTAAAAAACGGCCCTGGACTTTGTCTAGGCCCGGCCCAAAGCAATCGGCGCGCGGAAACTCGACAACAACAACAATAACGCCTGCTGCCTGGCATGAGTGTCACAAGACTTTAATTGTGGCTCATAATACTATACCTAGCTAACAGCAAATTATACAATCTATTCCATGCTGTCTTAAAATGAATTTATTACTTAATAATCTTAATTAATTTATGCAGTAATTAATCTTAGCTACTGCACAAATAATAATACCACATCTAAATGAAAATAGGCTACACCATTACAAATGTAACTTCTGTATTCAAAATCTTCAAAGTTTGTAAGCATTAACTGTAACGTTACCAACATTTTTAAAAGTAAAAGCACAACATATTTCTTAATATTAGCTACTGCATGTGGCATTTTACAGCTAAAATGTTGAAGTTTAGCTGTTTTAACTACTGTAATCATTAAAAATGTAGCAAGCTGAATATCACTTCCTAACATCATCCCTAGCAAGTAACTTGCAAAGTAATTTCTGATTAATTCGGTTCGTCAGTAGTAGAGATAAAAGCCCGCCCGCACTTGATTGGTTGGGTCCTTACATGCGCTTCGTGAGGCACACGCGCACACTAGCACACACACGCAAGGTCTCTAGCTCGCTCCCTCTTTCTGCCGTGCGCGCACTACGCATGCGCACTCTTATTCGCTCTAGATTCCGAGAGATTTTAACTAATTTGCGGGCATCAGTGAGCCGCTATAAATATGCGGGGAACTTCCGGGAGACTTGGGATGTCTGTGACTGCGTGTGTGGCGGGCGGTGGGCCGGCCCACCGGCCGTCCTGGAGTACCGGCCGTTCTGTGATTCTCCAGATCACACAGATGGCCAGTCCGCCCCTGGCTCGATCAGTGTGTGATACTC